AGCAGGCTCCAGGCTCTGAGCCATCAGCCCAGAGCCCAACACGGTGCTCGAACTCACGGACCGTGAGATCATGACCTGAGCCAAGTTGGACACTTAACCGACTGAGCCATCCAGGTGCCCCTCTGGCAGTTTCTTAATAGCTGAACATACCCACATCCTCTAATGTAGCAGGTCTACTCCTAAGAAGTTATGCATGAAGAATGACAGCTTCTGTCTGTAAAAGCAAGCGTACAAGAATATTCCTAGCAGCTTTATTCGTAATAGCCTCAAACTGGAAACGGCACAGGTATCCATCAATAGAAGAATAAACAAACCATGATATACATCACGTTGAGTAAGTGAAGCCTTACACTTATATACAAAGTTCCAAAGCTTTCGATATTGAGCACTTGAAATGTGGCTAGTGTGAATTGAAACGTAATATAAGCATAAAATGCACACGGGATTCCAGAGGCTTAGTATAAAAAGCCCCACAAAATATCTCATTAATAATGGTCTTATATTGATTAACTTTGTAAGTGATAATGTTCATATATACGAGGTTGAATGAATTACGAAAATTGACCACATCTTTTTACTTCTTTAATGTGGATACTAGAAAAATGTTTAATTACATGTATTTTTTTAATGTTTATTTTATTTTTGAGAGAGAGAAAGAGAGCAAGCAGAGGAGGAGCAGAGAGAAAGTGAGACAGAGGATCTGAAGCAGGCTCTTCGCTAACAGCAGACAGCCCGATGCGGGGCTCGAACTCACAAACGGTGAGATCATGAACTGAGCTGAAGTCGGATGCTTAACTCCCCAGATTACATGTAGCTTATGTGTGTCTTGCAATGTATTTCTGTGGGGCAATGCTTGATCTAAAATGTATAAATTAGACAAAAGCAGAACCTTAAAAATTTTTCACATCTTACTGGAGCACTGTCTCACAGAACCACTCAAGGATTATCTGGTTAATGTAGCTTTGTATTTATTTATTTAATTTTTTTGAATGTTTATTTATTTTTGTAGGAGAGAGAGACAGAGCGTGAGTAGGGGAGGAGCAGAGAGAGGAAGACACAGAATCCAAAGCAGGCTCCAGGCTCTGAGCTGTCAGCACAGAACCTGATGCAAGGCTCGAACTCACAAACCATGAGATCATGACCTGAGCTGAAGTCGGACACTCAACCGACTGAGCCACCCAGGCGCCCCTGGATGTCCTATTTATTGTTGATTAGGACCCAGACTCTGTAAAGTTTAGATTTAACTCTGCAAATGATTTTTGCTAATGATAAGAAGATTGATACACTGGAAACTATTTTTCTTGGTAAGCCACAAATGATTTTGGATGTAAATGATTTCTGCCCAACAAAAGTGCACCTGACTGCGTTAAACAGGGAAGGAGGACTTTATTGGGGGGGGCGGGGGGAGGGTACTGCAGGAGGGAAAAGAAGCCAGCGCTCAGTCTGAACTCAACTGAAACAAAGAGAAGGTGGGTTTTTAAGAGCTGGAGTTAAGGGGAGATCTTAGATCATCTGTGTTTGCTAACTGGCTTTCCCCAAAGGAAAAGGAAACGTGCTTGTGTCTCTGTGACAGCAGGCAGTTTTACAACTGGGAAAAAGGTGCCCACAGAAGTTAGGCTCTCACCCCCTTAGGGAAACTGGGAGATAGGGGGGCAATCTCCTTAGATGTTTACATTCCAAAGAGATGGTTCCCAGGTCCCCTGAGACCGACATTTCCTGGATTGTAAAACTGGCAAGCGGCTTTTAAAGATATTTACATATCTCTCAAAGGGAGGGAGCAAGAATTTATAATGACAAGTTTTCTAAAGTCAATGCTCTAAGAAAAGCGAGGTCTGGGACCCCTGTGGTTAGGCCATGTGGATTCGGGAAGGGCCTGGGTGAGAGGGAGGTCAGCGGTTTAAAAACAGAGAGAAGGTTTGCATGCAGTCGTTGCTGTCCGACTTCAGCCAGATCATTAACTAAGGTCCGTGGGTTCAGCCCCATGGCCAGGCTCCCACTGGGATGGCACTGAGCCTGAGCCTGTTTCCCGCATTCTGTCTCCCTCTGCCCCCCGTTCATGCCTGTCTCTGTCCAAAATAAAATAAACGCTGGAAAAAAAAATTAAAAAAAAAAAATAAAATAAAATAAAAACAGAGAAGGGAAAAGCCTGCGGTTCAGTTGGTCGAGCATTCACTGCTTCAGGGGCCATGATCCGGTGAGTTCGAGTCACATGCTGACAGCTCGAGCCTGAGGCTGCCTCGATTCTGTAATTTCCTTCTTTCTGATCTCTCTCATTCGAGCAGCCTGTCTCTCATCTCGTGAATAACGCGAAAAAAAAAACTTTTATTTTTTTTTATTTTATTTTTTTAACGTTTATTTATTTTGGGGACAGAGAGAGACAGAGCATGAATGGGGGAGGGGCAGAGAGAGAGAGAGAGAGACACAGAATCGGAAGTAGGCTCCAAGCTCTGAGCCATCAGCCCAGAGCCCGACACGGGGCTCGAACTCACGGTCTGTGAGATCATGACCTGAGCTGAAGTCGGACGCTTAACCGACTGAGCCACCCAGGCTTCAAAAAAAAAAAAAAAAAAAACCTTTAAATAAAATAAAAACAGAGAGAAGACTATCTAAAGTTTAGTCCAGCTGAGGGAAAAGTCACAGCTATCTTGGCCACGCTCAGTAAAGCCAAACCACGCCTCTTGGGTTCACATCTGGGTTCCAGTGACTTTTAGCTGGGTGACCTGGGGCAAGTGTCTCAACCTCTCTGGGTCTCGTCTCTTCATCTTGTAAAATGCAGATGATTAATACTTACCTCACAGAATGGTTGTACAAATTAAGTGTGTTAATGCAAGTACAGCACTTAACACAGTACCGGATACATGGATGGTCTGCTGTGGTGCTAAATCACTTTACCAATTGTGAGCTTTGGTCTCCCCAGCCATCCCTTCTGAGAATGTAAATGGAAAATAAGACTGTGGACGCAAACATCCTTGGTACAGGCCTGGCACGTGGTAAGACTTTTTAAAAAATTGGGGCACCTGGGTGGCTCCGTCGGTTAAGCGTCCGATTTCGGCTCAGGTCAGGATCTCACGGTTTATGGGTTCGAGCCCCGCATCGGGCTCTGTGCGGTCAGCTCGGGGCCTGGAGCCTGCTTCGGATTCTGGGTCTCCCTCTCTCCCTGTCCCTCCCCCGCTCATGCTCTTGTCTCTCAAAAATAAATAAAATAATCATTAAAAATCTTTTAAAAAAGTAAATGATTAACATTCCATAACTAGTTATTATTGCTGTTGCTCGTGCTCTTATTAATTTTCTATTTTGTCCCTGTAATCATTATTTACTATTGTTTTGTCATACTACTACTCCCCATCAGGGGCGCCTGGGTGGCGCAGTCGGTTAAGCGTCCAACTTCGGCTCAGGTCACGATCTCGCGGTATGTGAGTTCGAGCCCCGCGTCGGGCTCTGTGCTGATGGCTCAGAGCCTGGAGCCTGTTTGCGATTCTGTGTCTCCCTCTCTCTCTCTGCCCCTCCCCCGTTCATGCTCTGTCTCTCTCTGTCTCAAAAATAAATAAACGTTAAAAAAAAAAATTAAAATAGTGATGTTGGAAATATCACTATTACTATCTCGCTCCTGCCCACATCTGGTGCCCCTTCCATCAAGCAGTTGCAAAGCCTGCCGGGGCCTCAGGCTCAAGCCAGGCTTTTCCTCCCTGGGGCCCCTACACCTTCATCTGATTGGAGGAGAAGGAGGTGGAGCTTAGATGAACACAGACTGACAGCGGCACCCCTGAGACCTCTGGACAGGTGCGATGCAGTGGCTAAGCCCACCACACAATCCTTGGGAAACCAAACAGATGACAAGGTGGGTGGGGCCTGACAATGGAGGACAACCCATTAAGCAGAGTTCCCCTCTGAGCCCAAAACTTGCTAAAAGCCCCAGGCACCCTCGCCACTGCCTAACGCTTTCACCTGGCATCCCCTTCACCAGTGGTGGGATCGCCCACAAGCTGGCTAAACCCCAGGAGAGCACAGGAATTCCAACCCCAACCTCCCCCCTGGGCTGTGGCTCCAGGTCTCAGCTTCTCTGCGACCGGTCTCGACACTCCCGCCCTAGCTCAGCTAAGAGGCGACACTAAGAGGTCAGTATAAGAAATGAGTCCTTCGAAACGCTTATACAAAGGAATTAAACTTTTATTGAGACCTTCATGTGCCAGAAACTGACCACACGGAGGCCTGAGGCGCGGTCCCTGCCCTTGAGGAGCTCACAGTCTAATAAGGAAGTCAGATGCTGAACCGATTCCCACAGAGAGGGGATGGGGAGCAGGGACACCAGCCAGCAGAGGAGGGAACCATTATCCTGCTCCGCACCCCCCCCCCCAAATTCCGGACTGGCTATAAGAAGGTGAATAGAAAGCTTATCAGTGTCTCTCCCATCTTCCCTGTGACAGCCCTGACTTTTCTCTGCCCAGAGACACCATGAGGAGACCAGGGAGAGACAAAGAAGAGGGAGATACACCTGTTGCCTACAACACCCTGGCAGGATATATATACAACGGTAAATTTATTTCCCAAAGCCGCAAACCAGTGCAGCAGAAGCTGGGGATAGTGGGGGGGGGGGGGGGGGGGGGGGGAGATTGGAAGAAGAGGGGCTGGGCCAGCCCAGTCCAGTGAGGAGAAAGGGAAGTCATGGGAAGAGAGGGTACCCAGGGCTGGGGAATAAGGCAAGACGGAAGTTTCTAGATGGCAAAATTCATGGTAGGGTGCCAGCAGCCAAGGCCAACACTAGAGCTGCCAACCCAGCCGAGGAAGTTGAAGAGCCTTTATTATGGGCCCCCCCTCCTGTAGGGTGCTGTCCCATATTCCTGCGGTCCTGGTGGCCAGCGGCACCTCCAGCCAAGCTAGATTCCTCTTTCTGAGAGGTCTCAGGATGTACTTCCCGTGGGGAAGTCTGGCTGGCCGTGGTGGGTTTAGTGGCAGAGACAAGAGTGGTTGCTGCTGGAGCAGAGGTTGTGACAGAGGTGGTTGGGGCCTGAGTGGTGGGCTTAGGAGGGGGCAGCAGGACAAGGGGTGGGATCCGAGGGGAGAAAAAGGTCTTGTTGTGGAGGTCCGAGTTACAGCGGGACCCCTGGCAGCAGGAGCCACTGAGTGTGAACCCTGGGCCTGTCACCGCATCCCGCGTGCAGAACTCGTCCTGGACACAACCCCGCACAGGCAAGGATACAGTCACATTAGCTGCAGGAGGGAGACACAGGGAGGTCGGTGGTTGGAGGGTTGCAGAGCCAGAAGGAAACTTAAAAGGCAAGACCAGGGCAAGAACCCCCAAAACAGGGGACAGGGGGCTCTACATCCATTAATCCAAAAAGCGCCACTTTGAGAAACACTGTCCCACTGTCTTTGGCACTTGGTGGACCACGTTTTCCATTTTAGAGAGGAAAGGTGTGTAGGACGAACTACAAGTCCCACAATGCCTTGGAAGAAAGTCTGGAGACTTTGGACAGAGATACACCTCTCATGAGACCAAACAGCAAAACAAACATCCCTCTCATCGTATTTCCCATCTCCCTGCACCTGCCAAAATTTAGTCTTAAGAATCAGAACTACATCTCCCATAATACACCTGGCAGAAAAGGCGTTTGAAGGATGTCTCCCAGGGTTCCCTGAGACAGAGGCCAGGAGGTGGCCTCTCTCCTAGGTGGCTGGGTGGGGACCCTGACCCCTTGAGTTTTGAGGAGTCACAACTAGACTCCCTGGATTCTAGAAGCTTGGAGGCTTCCATTTCCCAAAGCACGTCGTCCCACTCTGCACCAGGCAGACCTCTATGGAAATGTATTTCCCAAAAAAAACCTCTAGGACAAAAGAAACCGTAGCCCCACGCTACGTTGGGGATAGGCCTGCATTTCTCACGACGCTCTAGGGTGAGACGAGAACTTGGGCCTACAATTTTCCAGAATGCGCTGGAGATGGGTCCCTCTGGGTAAAGGGACTACCCACCGCCCATGAGGCCAGAGGCCACTACAAATCCTGTAGGCCCCCTCCTCCCGGCTCGCTCACCTGCCGTCAAGGTGACGTTACCGTCGAAACAGCCCTTGTAGACGCGCTCACTGGCGTTGTAGCAGCTCACGACAGGTGGAGCCGTGCCCCGGCACGCCTCGTGGCTCAGCCCCACGCAGCTGTAACACTCGGCACCGTTGGACGGGTACGCACTCTCATTGCCTGCGAGGGGAGCGCGACGGAAGGAAGGGGTCGAGAAGGTTCAGGCAGCACGGCTTCGCCCAAAGTCCCTCCAGCCTAGTACACCGAGCTCGGCCTCTAGCCGGGCCCCAGCGCCTGGCCCCGCGTTTAGCGTCCCCGCTACGTTGCCTACAGCGACGAGGCCCCGCCTGCCGCCGCGTGGCCCCGCCCCCGGCCCGTGCGCAGTTCTCCCGCCTCCAGCTGGGGATCACCCCAGTGGCTCAGCCGCGGTGTGGCTCCGCCCTCGGGCCTAGGGCCCGCCTCCACCGACCTGCGGGGTTGAGCGCTCGCGACGTGAGGTTGAGTTTGGCGTTGCAGCGGTCCTGGGCGCATTGCTGCAGCTGCATAAAGGCCAGAAGCCCGTGAAGATCCAGTCCGCGGTCATTCTTGCCCGGGAGTCCGGACCCGCAGCCCCGCACTGCCACCGAGAACTGCCCGTGGACTGCGGAAAGGAAGGGGCGGGGGTGAGCGGAGGCGGGGGGCGGGGCCTCGAGTGACTCCTCCTCCTCCCCCTCCCCCCGCCACGGCCAGACGGTAGCCAGGCCAGAGTCGAACGGCAGGGGCCTCAGAAAGCCGATCGCCGGGGGAAGGACGACAGACGGAGGGGCAGAACCTCAAAGAGCTGAGTCCGAGGGAACAGACAGGCTGACAGACTCTGGACAAAATCGAGGAGGAGGGCCAAGAGTGGAGCTAGGACGGGGCTCGGCGGCAGAGGGGCGGAACCGCAGAAAGCATCCTATAAAGGAACCGGGAGACTGACAGAAAGGGCACCGGGTCAGACCGAGGTGGGGTCTCCGGGAACTGTAGCCTCAGAGAAGGGCGGGCTTCCCCCGGGGGTGGGCCAGCGGGGCGGAGCCTCAGTGTAGGGAACCTAGGAGGAGAGCCCTAGAAAGGTCTGCATCACCACGGGCCTACCTGGATAGAGGATTCTGGCAGGGACAGAGTGGGTAGGGAGGTCTCAGGGGTGGAGCAGAAATGGATAGGGTGTGCCCTCGAAGGGCAGCCCCTCACCCATCTAAGCCCTAACTGTAGTGGTGTTAAAGGGCTCCAGCCAGGATGATAGGGAGTCCTGGAGGGCGTTGAATGGGTGCGGACAAATTCAAAAGAAGGGGCGGGGCAAAAGGAGGCGGGGCCTGGCTGGAGGAGCTTCGAAGGGGTACGAATGGACCCGAGGGCCCCACTCACTGGTCTCCACCGCCCCCACGGCCTCTGTGCAGACGTCCACGCCCGGCGCGCACTTCACGGTCTTGGTCTTCTGCGGAGAGCATCCGTCATCTGCTTTCTGCACGCAGCTGTAGCACTCCAGGGCCCGCGCTCCTGGGGGCGCAGGGCCGAGCAGAACTAAGCGATTCCTACTGAAGCCTCGTCCCCGAAAGGAGAAATAGTCCTTCCCACGCCCTCTGTTCCCGGGACGTGACAATGCTATTGCCCACCATTTTCCGGGACAGGAGTAAAAATCTCGCCACAAGTCTGGTGCCGCTCTCCTTCCAGCCGCCTATGCCTACAGTGGGAGCATCCTCCCCACAGCCCCTTCTGCCCAAGATGGGGGGATCCTTGCTATGGAAGGGAGGGACACCTTCCCCCCCCCC